GGATCTACGAACTTGGTTCGGGTGACGGCTGGAGGCCCGCGCTGCGAACGGACGCGAATTCCGTGAGCTACATGTCGAGGTGGTGTTCGCGGGCAAGTGCATTCGCGCCACTGAGCTGCTTGCTAATCGACCGGCGACCTGTAGTGATTGTGGAGGGTGATTCTGGCGGTGAGTCATCTTGCTGATTCGTGTTGGGTTTTCCTCATTCGGTGCTAGGGCGACCGTGTGCGATGCTTGCCTCTCCATACGCAACTTCGTCCGGACTTGTTCCGGGTGTTGACGGCGCGAGGGTATATTGGAAATCGCGAAGTCGGCCCGGTGGGACGAAGACTGGCCGGATTCTGTGCTACGCACTGCAAGTGGATGCATCAGCGAGCGGTGCGTAGCGAGCGCGGTGTGCGTAGCAGTGAGTGACTGCACTCGCGCAAACCCGTAGAGAAGGACGCTGACCTTCTCAGAGGCCCGGAATAGAGGCCGCACTCGTCCGGTCTGTACTTGCGAGGACAACTGCGTGCGAGGTCTTCGCGGCGCGGAACGTCACTACGGGGCGTTCTCGAGAACTGACAGCATAGGTTGAGCCGTGAGCTCGAACCGGGGCGAGGAAGTGCGGCGGGTTCAGGAGGCATTCGGGCGAGCGTTTGCGTTGCGGATACTGTGCAGGATCGCGTCTGAGAGAGGGGCGAAGGGCCATTAGTGCGCAGAGTAGCGTTAGAGTACGATGTGCTCTGTTTCCCTCGAAATACCCCTTTGTTGCGTCTGCGGAGTCCATATCTTGCGTCCCTTACACAATGCACGCGCCTCCATGTCCTCTACCCTAACATAAACGCACCTCTGTGTCCTCTATACCCTAATATCCACGCAGACTCACGCATTATCGACGGTCCCTCTCCGTCCTCCCATTCGCCCGCTAGTCCTCGTCGCGACGCAACCGTCCCGCCAACGTTCCCGAGCGCCTCCAGCCAGTCCTGCTTCGCTCATCTCGAGGACCAGCTGCCAGCACAAATGCCTCACGAGAAGCCGGACAGGGAATCGCGGAGGTAGAACGGCGTCAGTACGTGTGGAGCAACATCCGCACACGCGGCCTGGGAGCGTCCACTGCGAGCCACTGCGATAGAAACAGGTAATCGCAGCAACCAGGCTGGCTCGCAAAACAGATGGATCGGGCGATATGTTCCTTGCTCGCCGTCAGGCAGCTAGACCGCAAGGGGACGCTACGACTTGAACCGGTACCACACGTGTCCCGACGACCCACAGACGTATAAGAGAGACGTCCGCAGACCGTGTCTCCCCAGTCCCAGACTACCCACCGCACCTCACAAGCACCCGCCTCAACACACCCCTCACAATGTTCACCGTAAGCAAGCCGTACCTCTCCAGCGAGAGACGTGCTCACCAGGGTCCGCAGAACGTCGCCGTCCCCGTCAACAACGCCAACTGCGGCGTGACCAGCTGCAGCTGCGGCGAGGCGTACGTCGCACTCTCGCTCCACGTCGCACCGCCTTACGCTGACCCGGGTCGTTGACAGCTGCCAGTGCAAGCCCACCGAGTGCAAGTGCTGAACGCCGTCGGTCCTGTTGCGCCAGCCAGCCTTGCACGGGCCGCTTCCCTTCTGCGGCGAGGAGAGGGACGGGAGTCCGGCTGTCTAGTAGCAGCGTGTAACGGTTTGGCCGCGATGGGCGCGACGCCGCGCAGGGGAATCCGCATTTGTTGTAAAATCGATCGTGTTCGAATGGGAAGATGTAGCGTTCCTTGAGCAAATGCGGCGGCGACCTGGGCTTGGTGAGATTTGAAGGGCTTGATGCTTCAAGTTGAGACGGCATCGAGCTTGTACTTCGCGTGGATGTTCATTGGCCACCGGTCGCCGGCTAAGCGTATCCGTCGACCTGTACCATAGTGCCAATGAGCCGTACCCACCCGTGTTGTGTGCGTGAGGTTGTACTGCAACCACATCCGCGCGAGTTGGAAGTCAAGAACATACGTGGGCGCTCGACGCTCGACTTGCTTCCTGCCCGCACGTGCGCTTGATACACTTTGACCACGACGAGGCCCTCTCGCTCGACATCCAGCCCCCATCTCCTCTACAAGCTATCGCACAAGCTCTCACAGCGTACTTGCGCCACGAGCTACGCGCATAGATGCGGCCAACTCGTTGCTGGAGACTGCTCGGTGCGGCTGAGCCCGACTTGAGTGGGATGGGGTGAGGTGCTCGGTATGCAGATCTGAGACTACTCTACTCGACCTCCATACTTACTGCTCGCCTCCTACAAGTGACCGTGACATTCTAGGAGGTTAGTAAGGTTCAACACGTCCGCGATACCAGATCCACGCATGGTCTGTGAACGCCTATACAGCGTGCGCCGTTTCGTCATGCCATTCAGCGCAACCGCCAACGAGGCGGTATCTGCAACCACGCCGGAGCGCGGTGGATTGGCGTGGGGCTGCGACCACACAGACGATCCGTGGTGGCAGCGTTGTTTGTGGTTCGAGGCCGAGCGTGGTGTCGCATCGGTGTGCACCGAGGCTCTGCGATTCCGAAGACACCGTGAGTACATCAGTCCTTGCGGGTTCGTTGTCTTATCTATCCCAGCACGTACCCCTGGACGCTGCGGACATGGAGACATGGAGAGAGCATAGGCTGGGGTTAGGGTCGGGCCCATGACCTCAAAGGCACGCACCTGGTCTATTTATACCTCCGCCCGCTCTTTCTCCTCGACGCCCACCATGACCTCGCTCCCCCTCCACGAAGCAGACATGAAGCCCAAGCAGTCCATCACCGCCACAAACCTCCCCGCCCACACCCAGGACCCCGCCGTCGTCGCCGCCTCGCTCAACAAGCTCGTCGACCAGTCCGCGCAGCACGCCGACGTCCGCCACGGCATCCACGCGCCCATGCACAGGCTCGCCGAGCTCCCCTTCGTCCACAAGCTCATCCCCGGCCTCGAGAGGCTCGCCACGGAGGCCCATGTCGGCAACTATGTCATCGATCGCAAGACCGGCCAGCGGTTCTGGGAGAGCATGCCCATCTACCCGAGGTGCGTCGCGTCGTCGTCGAGTCGTCTGGTGTGCTGAGTCGCGCGCGACATAGACTCGGCATGCACTTGCTGTTCTACGGCGGCGAGCAGCGCAAGATCCTTCATAACAAAAGCATCGAGTCCATCCTCGAAGAGCTGTCCGTCCGGGTGCGTATTCACGTCCCACACCACCATCCTTCCCCGCCTTTGACTGACCCCGCACCCGCAGCAAGGCCGCATCTACGACTCGCCCGAGTCCGTCAAGAGCATCCCCTCGTTCATCGAGACGTACACCATCGCACTCGACGAGCTCCTCGAGCCCGACCCAACAAAGTACCCCACCATGAACGAGTTCTTCTACCGCCGGCTCAAGCCCGCCGCGCGCCCGGTCGAGAACGCAGACATCCCCGGCGCGATATGCAGCGCGGCGGACTGCCGGCTCGTCGTCTACCCCTCGGTCGACCTCGCGAAGAAGTTCTGGTGCGTCCGCACGTTCCCCTCATCCCCATCGTCCCACTAATTGTCGCGTACCTTGGACAGGATCAAGGGCAACGAGTTCACGATCCCGCACCTCCTCGGGGTCCCGCCCGACTCCGCGCAGGCGCGCGCATTCGAGGGCGCGGCCGTCGCGGCCTTCCGGCTCGCCCCCGCGGACTACCACCGCTTCCACAGCCCGCTCGACGGCACCGTCGGCGAGATCACCGACATCCCCGGGCAGTACTACACCGGTGCGCGCCGCAGTACCCCTACCGTTCCGCGCTGGGAGCGACTCGGAGACTGAGACTGACTGGGTGGGCGCAGTGAACCCGCAGGCGGTGAACGAGCCCGGGTTCGACGTGTTCACGGCGAACAAGCGCGCCGTGCTCTACCTCACGCACGCCGCGTCTGGGAAGCAGGTCGCGTTCGTCGCCATCGGCGCCATGCTCGTGCGTCCCCTCCCTCCCCTCATGTCGTAGCTCCGCACGCTGACGCACGCCGCGCACGGGCAGGTCGGCTCGATCAGGTGGACGGGCGGCGCGCGGAAGGGGGGCGCCGTCGCGCGGGGCGACGAGCTCGGGCACTTCGCGTACGGCGGGAGCACCGTCGTGTGTCTCTTCCCCGCGGGCCTCGTCGCGTTCGACGAGGACCTCGTGAGGAACTCGAGCGGGGAGGAGCCGGTGGAGACGTATGTGAAGGTGCGTGCGCTGCGGATCGCAGACGAGACGCGCGGGTTCAATGCGGTGCTGATGGTGCGTGATCTAGGTTGGGCAGTCCGTTGCGAAGGTGAACCTGTAGGGTTGCGAGAGAAGATTGGACTTGGAACCATATCTCTACCTCCCTCCGAGTCGCCTGCGCCCAATCGCGCGCCGGCCCCGCCGCGCTCAACGCATCCCATTGGTCGATCGCAGATCTCACGACCGGCCCAAGCGCTCGCTGACCCTGCGTTTGCGCCGTTTTGCGCGTCGCTCGACGTCGCCCACGGCCGCTTGCTCTCCCTTGGAGCTCTCCTTGTGCGGCCTCTTTCCACCACGAGCACCCTTGTGCTCCCTTGTACATCCCCTTGCGGTGCGTTCCCTTCGTTTTCCCCTTGTGTACTCATGGCGCCGTGCTCCAGCTGTGCGGGCGAGTGGAGGAAGGAGGAAGAGCGGAAGTGGGGCGAGGCAAAGACGGTGCATAGGGTGAAGCTGAACCGGCTGAGCGAGGAGAGGGAGGCGAACAACGAGAAGCGGCTCCTCAAGCTCTCCGGTGCTCAGCTCTGGCCCACCCGGCATGGTCGTGCTCGGCAACTCGTTCCCATCTATCTACCACCCCGACACCGTCGGACCACAGCCCGTCCTGAACAGGCCGCGGTCAGAGAAGGTCTGACACAATGAGCTGGACCAACTGACCGGACGACCACTGCCACGTCTCGCATCGCGCCGACGACCCGCGCAAGACGGCGATCCACGACGTCGCCCCGTTGAGGAGCAACACCGCGCGCTGCTCTGACCTGCGTCAAGTCAGCTCTTCACCCGCCGAGGCCTCACCGCCACGCCGCACCACGACGACAGCCAGAGGTCGAAACATCAGCGACGAACACGGCACCGCGCGCAAGGCAAACGTCACTCACCGGTGGTCTCGCCATCCCACTCGCCGGCCACGCACACCATCGACGGAACGACCGCACGCGGAACGTGCGGCGAGGCGCGGTCGCGTCCCCAAGCGTTGTCCAGCCGGGTCACGGACCCACTCCCTGTGCAGTGCACTTGTCGACCTGCGCGCCGCTCGAGAAGAACAAAGACGGGGCACCATACCAGCGTCGTCACGACGACAGCACCCTCTTGCTGCGCGGCGCCGACACGGCGGAGTGTGCACGACCCACAGGGGAATGAAGGCGGGTTCGGTCAGGTGGACGTCACGAGCTAGGTCGCGGACGTACCGGTGTCGCGTCGCTATGCTACCTCGCACGCAGCGCCCGATGTCTAGTCAGTGGGGATGGACGTCAGTTCCGTGTAGTATGGAAACGTCAACGCAAGACACACCGGCATGCTACACAAGACCCGGACAGCATCGCAACGCAGGACCATGAAGGCACAGACCCCGGGTGGCGAGCGACGGGCGTGGAGAGGAGGCGAGGGCGAGAGGAGAATCACTGTGAGGAGCGGAGGGCTGCTGGACATCGGACGGACGTTGCGTTGGGGACGGTGTGGCGCGACGAGGAAAGGAAGAGATGCGCGCGGAGACGCGGGCGCGCTGACGAACATCGAGAGGATCCAGTCAACCGGTGACGCGCGGTTGGCGCAGGACGAGCACGGAGACAGACCAGGGCGAGGAGTGGACAGGGTGCATGCCGCCATAGGCATTGGACGGCGCGCGGCGATGCGGACGGGTGGCGCGGCGATGCACAGAGGACGGACACGAGAGAAGGAGGTACGCGCTGACGAATCTTGCAGGGCGCAGTTCGCGGAAGACGGCGCACTCATCAACAACCTGCGCACTCGACGAAGGCACGCGAGCACGGGCCATGGCCTGACCGTCGTCGCCCGTTCACATCGACGCCGACTCATCGGTGCAGAGCAAACGTGGCACATGCTAGAGTGAGTGCATCTGCCGAAGAAGTAGCGAGGATCAAGGCTGCACTTGGAAGTCTGGAGTCGGAGCAGGCCGTGCAAGAGCTACTGGGCAAAAATGCAAGGGCGATGCTCAGGTTACAACGACGACAACGTTGGCGACTCGGGGCGGAGAGCGGTGGATTTCGCGGATATCCTTGGGTCTCGGGGACCTCGTCGCGTGATGGTCTGCGAAGCCTCCTGGGCGATGCAGGCTGCAGCATGCCGGGCAGAGAAACGGTCAGCCGGCTGGTCACTACTGGAAACGACCGCTTTCGTCAAGCCGGACGAACGAGGACTGCTCGCAGATCCGGCAAGGAATGTCTGGGTCGATCGCAACGCGCAGCCGTTGTGTCCATTTCGGAGGGCGCGACGATCCCGCGCGAGGCGTGCACAACCTGCTCGTGCGCGGAGCGTCGACACGAAGTGCGCGGAAACCCGACTCGCTGTCTGCATGGACGACGAGCCGGCGCTGGTCGTCGACGGCATGCCTCTGCACGCGGTCGATGGGGCGCGCGGTCTGTCTACGGTAGGTACTGCTAATACTACCTAAACGAGCCTCAATGTAGTCGGGTACAGATGCCGCCAATATATCTGTTGAGAGCGGAGTATGAGTGTTGGTTAGAGTAGCTCAATGAGATGGACGCACTGGTAACGCCGTTTGGGGGCGCACTGTAAGAATCGGCGATGTATCACTACTAACTGGTCGTGTATTGTCCCTATGAGGCGGACGTGAGTTGTCCGCCGGGATCGCGCATACCCTGCTTGATATGCAACGCGCGTCGCGCGACCGTACTGTAGGCTACGCGGAAACGGGCGACGTTAGTGTTCGGTCATTGGACAAGGGGTGCCAGTGGTAACCAATACATACCGGGAATAGAGAGCAAGAACCGCGCTCGAACTTGAAGGCGGTTACTTGTTACCGGAAGTCATCCAAGGGTCTGGATAATACGATGTCAGTACCCGACCTTGCATCGCTAGACAGTGCTTACCTAGACATGGGTCATGATTATGTGACCGGGAGGGCGTCCAACAGCTTTTAGTATTCGGTAGTGCCATCTGCGCTACCGGCTACTGCTGTGAAACGTAGCGCCGGGATCGCGCATACCCTGCTTTGCTGGGATATACGAGGGAGTTCACGATGTCACGGTGTTTCGAAGACTCACGGTAATAACAATTCGCACGATACGAGGGATACGAATCGTAACCATGGGCGACTGATGCGCTGCCGGGCGTGCGACGTGTTCAGTCGCCGGTTGTACAACCTGCAAACCACGTCAATGATACATACAGATTCGTGCATACTAGTACCCTGCTTGACGAGGATATACGAGCGAGTTCACGAGGCTCATTGTGATCTGTTCCGCAGAGTTACATTCACACCATGAGCTATATGATACTGAGAGGGGCTCACCATACACGTTGGATATTAATTCATAATCGGGTACGTGGTGGATAGTTGACAGTGTCCAGGATTGCAATCCGCGCGGAAAGCCTGCGATAACATGTAGCGCCGGGATCGCGCATACCCTGCTTGACAAGCTCACAAACATAGCAAGACGTGTGAACTCCCTCGTATACTGTAGCATCAGTGTACAGTGACGACAGCACTGGTAGAGGCATACCTTGCCCGTATGTCATAAAGACAAAACGCGACTGGGAGCGTTAGCGTTCGCCACTGCTCTACAGCACCATTTCGGTACGCAGCGCCGAGATCGCGCATACCCTGCTCGGTTTGAATATACGAGCGAGTTCACGACTAGATGTCACTGTGTCGTGTGAGTAAAATCGGGTCAGCATGTCAATCATGTATACAGAGTACCGTACTTACTACTACCGGGCCCTTTAGTAGCTACGTTCTCGGAGCGATGTTATGCACACGGCCCGATATCGCGCTGCAGCACATAGTCATTAGTAAATCGTCTCATTAGCACATGATACTGAATGATCATATTGCTCACTAGGGTCAAATAATCACCCATTATTGACGTCCAAAGGGTCTAGTACAGAGCATCAATGCAACGGTAGCAGCACGATCAAAGTTCGTACCGAACAGGTTGCAGACGGTTGCCGTAGCGTCGCGTTACAACGAACTGCCTTCCAGGTAGGATGGGATCCGGAGTCGAGTTCAATCAAGAGGCTGCGAGTGGTGATGCTCCCCAGGCATTATTTATATACGCCAGAGCGGCCTGCACTTACGTGTGCGATGGTCCGTGCGCACACGCCGAAACTACAGCGCCGACACGCGTCTCTGACTACCATCAAAATGCAACCGCTTGCACGTCTGGCTTCCCACTGGCGGTGTCCAATGACGGCAAAAGCGGGCTGCACTCTCCCGGAAGTTGTCAGGCGACTTTGCAATCGCCGAACAATAACACATCTTCGCAGGTTGCAAGGAAAATACATCAGACATGAGCGCCTTGATTGGCGCGTGTGCGGGGGAAGGGCGACAGGATGTTCGCCAGCTGCTCTTACCTATAGGACTTATTCTGAACGGCAAACACGAGCTCTCGCAATAGACGGCTGTCCGCGAGCAGAGCGGCTGGGAATGAGGCATATGTTTCAGCACAAGGGTCCTGTATTGGGTCGAAAACCCCATCAAGTCCCACTGAGACTGGCTGGGAGCCAGCCACGGAAGCAGAGCAGGAAAACGGGCAAACCGAGCAAGAGCGCGTAGACGCCGGTAGCCACAGCGGTCGAGAGCCTCGTGTTCACAGATCGCGCACACGATCTCTGGTCCCGCGGTCCCGCGCTTCCTCTCTACCTACCTCCACGTCCAGCCAGTGTCCAGCCACGACCACTCTCTCCGCCGCTCACTCGGACTGTGTATGAAGCGGGTGAATGCCGCGGACCCAGCTGACCTTGCAGAATATCTTGTTAGCATCCATATAGTGAGCTCAAGACGGCTTCAAGCTGGCTGACGGATTTGAGTTCTCAGTTCACTGATTCCTAGTATGGTGTCTCGCAGCCACCGGCGTTCACATAAGCCCAGTTGCCATGCCTCGCGTTGGGCAAAGCACTGTCATTAGTGGAGGCTGATGACAGTGCTTCGCTCCCGGCCCCGGAGAATCCGCCAAATTTGTACTCACCATGACTACCCTGATCAGCAACCGGAGGGTTATCGGACCCTCGAATCTCTGACAGAATTGGGTGCCACCCAATTTTATCAGCAATCGAGGGTCTGCAATGCCCAACGTAGGGCTGATATTCACTGTAAGAGTGGTCTTAGAGAGATGGAACCTTGAGGCATTCCACTACCTTAGAGAATCCGTGAGCCTACAACAATGAGTCACACCACCGATCAGCCGCTTCGCGA